GAGAGAGAGAGAGAGAGAGAGAGAGAGAGAGAGAGAGAGCAACGGATCCTCTTCAAACGTATCAGAGGGGCCATGCAGGTAATCTGAAGGGTCCTCCCAGCAATTTAGTGCAGACCCTCCACCAAAATCGAGGCAGGCAGTGACCATCAATAAGAAGGGGAAAGGACACACAACACAGATTTGCAATCAATCGAGGTAAGTGGGGAAGGAGGTTCTTCTCTTCTTTGTAGCCGTCGAAGAAGACTCCACGTTCGCTCCAATCGCTCCAACCGCAGGTAAGTGTTCTCCTCCTTAGCCCCTTCTTCTTCGGCAAACTTCCCCCTCTATCCCAATCCAACTCTACTTCACCTCTCTTCTTACTTCATCTCTCGCCAGCTATACTCAAGCCAGCTTATCCTTCTCGCCGGCCTTGATCATGCGAGCGCATCCAGTGAGAGTAACAAGTTCTGCTCTCATACCAAATTTGCAAGGAACCCCACTTGCTGGAGTGCATCAGCTCACATGCATATACACAGATTTCACAGATTGCGATGTCTCACACATGCCCAATAGAAAATGAATGAGAACCAGGGAGTTCAACTCAATTATCAAAACCAGATTAAAGAGGGAACATCGTGAGTCCAAATATATTCAGCGCCGAACAGAGTTGCTAGTCTTCTTCTATTAAAATGAGTTCCAGGCCTGGCGCTCATCAGTGCCAGCTACCCAACGTCAACAACAGCTCTCAACAGGTAAGTGTCACCATAGCTCACACCTCCCCCTCTCTCGTCTGCTTTCTTCTCTCTCTCCCTCTTGGTCTATAGTCCTGATCTACTCTCACTCTTCATGCATGCACACTTCTTATCACACGAGGATCTACTATGAATACTACTCACTGGTGTCTCCTACTAACTATCCCTACTAACATACTAACTAGCACTAGCGCAGCTATGGCTGCCTTCCCTCTGGCCAGCGCCTCACTTCTCTTCCTCTCACATAGCGCTGCTCTCCAGGCTAGCGCAGCTCACACATGTCTAGCGCACAAGTGCCACGGCACCTCCACACTCTCATGCAGAGTAAGCATCTGTCCAAATGGGAGGCTGGCCAGTCCTTTATAGTGCTGGGCTGGCCTGGCGTGGCCTGCATTCAGCCTCGAGTGTCTGGGACTCCTGCCCAGTACCTGTTGTTGCAAAGTGTATGTCCCAGTATCCTTTCCCATGGTCTGCTGCTGCTTTGGGCCATCGGGCCTGTCTTTTGGACTCCTGGTCTGAATCAGGACTGACTTGTGGGATTATGACTGGACTGGGACTGTGGCCTTTGACTCATTGCCGAACAGACATGACTTTCCATCGAGGAGACATGACCCTAACTCAGTCTAGAAAACTGTGTCCAATACCTGTTCGTGCAGGACCTGTTGGTGACTGTTCAAAAGGACTTTTCAATGTTTCATTTCATTATGGATGCGACATTTGCCTCAGGAACTTTGTCTTTTGGGTCGCAGCTTGTGAATTTAAGTTCTGGCCGACAGGGCCCCTCGCTGTTGGGGCATTCATCTGGGGTCTAATTCGTAAAGGCCCTTTTATCAGCATCTTACGTGCTTAGTGGCGCAAATCCATTCCAAGATTGTGGCAAGCTATGTATCCTCCCATATACCCTCTCCCGCAGACTATTCATCCGGTCTGTATCCACCATGCTTTCCTGAAAAATACATCGCCAAGAATCAGAAACGCAGGTGATCCCTCATTTTCAGTAAATAGAAATCGTGGCAATTTCCAGTTTCATATCAGATGCATCGTATATGACTTGCTTCATGCGTCCATCCTATCAGACGGTTCAAGATTCTCGATCGAACACCAAACCGATCTGCTCCCCCCGCGTCCTCGTTCTTCCCCAGGCTTTTGCTTTCTCCGTTTTTCTGCCCTCCATCCTGCATACAATACATTAGTCAGCATTTGAAAACCCCATCTAGCAAACGGCCGGCCATCGCCATAATATCGGTCTTCACACTCGCCTGCTACCATCATAATCCCCGCCAACTTTTCATACTAGAAGCTGTGTCGCTGTAAACAAAATGGCAGAAAAAGGAAACGAACGAGAAAGAATGGAAGAAAACCAACAAAGAAAAGAAAGGAAAAAGAAAGAAAAGAAAGAAAGCACAGCTTCGTCCTGAAACAGTCCCCTCCCTTTCCTGCCTTCACACAGGGCTTTGGGGGCCTGGAAATCTCTTCACCGTGGGAAGGCTGGTTAGTGCTGCTCACACAATTCTTGAATACGCATCCTGCATGCCACCCCCCTGTGATTTGCGTGTCCTGAAGAGTTACTTCAATGCTATTATAGCATTTTACTATGATTTTAGTTCATTTAGGTCTGAATTGCAGAAGTGTCGTGTTTAGGGTCCCTTCAGATTTCTCAGCGGGATTGAAATGTGATGTTGAGAAGTTTATTATGAGCCATGAGTATGGATGAGGTGCAAGTCAGGAGCTTACAAGAAGCAGTGGGTGGGAAGACCCATTTTGTGTTTTCAGGCTTTCAAACAGTTTCTCAATACACCAGATCCCAAGTGCTCTGCAGAAGTGAAGCAGTTGTCAATCTAACTTCTCGGTGGATGTGTTTGTGTTGTTTTGTGAGTTTGCAGCTGACTGAGATGAAGGGTTATGATACCAGCGTACACACTCTGGCATGCTTTGGAGGAGCAGGCCCGCAACATGCATGTGCCATAGCACGAGCTCTGAAAATGCGTGAGTCAAGCTCTTTGCATTCCTGTTGTGCCTTCTTGTGATGGTTCTTCATGCCTTACAAGTTACAAGCTATTTTTTTGTAAGCCCTCTTGGCCCTTGGGTCTCCATATATTGCTTGGTATGCTTTGCCTCAATCCTTTGCTAAGTGTCCCATATGTGATGCCTTACTTTTTTCTTTTTTTTCTTCGATTTTTTTTTAAAACAAAACAGAGCCTCATGGCTCTGGCTCCTTGTCCATGGGGAGCGTCGGTCCGGTTCATATTCCTCCGGCAAGTCAGGAATACAGATTACAATGCACTCAAAAACGCTTCTCCCCATAATGGTTCGGAGACCCAAGGTACACCATAGATTATTTCCAGTCTGGAAGGATGTACCTCCCCTCACCCCTGCCTAAGCTAGCCTAAGAACTGCTATGACCTATCAGTGCTATACTATTGAAGCTAGGTCAGAGCTTCCGTAGATACTAGTAAGGCTATGCTCCTCTCAGCTACTTGCCGCCTGAAATGCTTGTGAAACTGGAGCGTTGAACCCTTTGTTGATCTGTCCAAGCTTTTGACTGCAGAAGTTTACTGTCTTTCTGGGGCAGGCTTGAATCTGGTACAAGGACTGGTGTGTAAGATGAAATCCTGTTGAGGAAGGTATGTGCTTCGATTGGCTAAGGGATCATATCAGCTTGGTTTGGAGGTGGGGGATAGGGTTTTATCGGGGTTTAGGGGTTTGGGTTTTAGTGGTGTTTTAGGCTGTGTAAGTCTCATAGAGAAAAAATGTGTTTGAGTGTTAGTGGCATGTGAAGATCAGGGGGATGGGGTCAAGGATAGTTGTTCTTTGGTGTTGTTCTAATTCCTGGTGTTTTGCAGAGGTGTGTGTTCAGGGATGTATTTCTATTTGGCTAATAGTGCAGTGTGTGTTCTGTCATCTGTTTCAGTGTCAGGGTCGTTTGGGCGTGAGATTTGTGTTGCTGTAGGGGGATTTGTGAGCTGCTGACTGTTTTGCACAGGGAGAATTAGCCAATCTTTTAATATTAATCTCTCTCCTACTAATGTGCTTAGGTTACCATTCCCTAATCTTAGTAAGGTGAACCTTTTGGTGATCTCAAGTTTTTTATCCGGGGAGTTTTGTATCTGAGATTGGGTTTTCTTCCATAGCGCACTGATCTCGGTTTCTATTCATTGTTTTATAATGATGAGCGGATTCTCTGTGTTAGCAAGTTGATCTTCAAAGGTCATGCAATAACCCATGTAGTAAGCCTCGTGGAAACTGAGGGCCTCGCCAGGCCACACCCAGGGCCAGGCCAAAACAGGGGAAAAGACCCCAGCAAAAGATTCAGGGCCTGGACGAGGTACAGTTGACAAAAGACAACCGTCGGAAACTCCAAGAGTCAAAGTCAAACATGTACCCAGCCCAGGCCGCTGGTCGGACAAACACATTTGTTTGTATGCAGGTACCCAGACAGCATCAGGTCCAAGGGGAAAGTCTGCAACTTACAATCCAGGCCTTCGGCTGTGAAACAATCTGGACGACTGAGGGGAGGAGACCCGAGGCCAGAGAGCCTCGTCAAATGCTACTTAAAGACTGGCCTCGAGGTGGTCAACATTCAGTCTTGCCATGCTGCTTTGACACTGGCTCGACTTTGACAAGACGCTGGCATTATGCTGGTGCGACGCTGGCTAGGATGCTGGCTGTGCATAGGCGTTGCGGACGACGGCACGAGGTGGAAGCAGCAGGCTGGCGTTTCTTGTTCTGTGCGCCAGGCATGCTGATGTGGCGCTGCCTCTGGTCTCCATTGCATGCTGATGTGGCGTTGCCTCTGGTCTACATTGCATGCTGATGTGGCGCTGCCTCTGGTCTATGTGGCGCTGCCTCTGGTCTATGTGGCGCTGCCTCTGGTCGATGTGGCGCTGCCTCTTGGTCTATGTGGCGCTGCCTCTGGTCTATGTGGCGCTGCCTCTGGTCTACATTGCATGCTGATGTGGTGTTGCCTCTGGCCTATAGTGCATGCTGATGTGGCGCTGCCTCTGGTCTATGTGGCGCTGCCTCTGGTCTATGTGGCGCTGCCTCTGGTGACGATGTGACGCTGTTTCTAGTCTACATTGCTGTTGTGGCGCGTGCCACTGTTCTTCATTGATGATGTGGCGTATGCCACCTGTCTCGACTGCTGACGTGGCATTGTCCACGTTGTCTACATGAGGTGACTGGTTGCGAGGAGGAGGAAGGTCGGGATCTGTGGATGAGGGAGGTCGGATACTCACCTGAGGTTGATGTCGTCACTGAAATCTGCTGTCTTCATGGTCTCTACGAGATAAGAGTGCCATGTGGCACTACTGTTTGTGATCAGGATTACTATACTTGTTATCATCTACTGGTTGTTGATGTGGAGAGGGAAGAAGCCCAGAGAAGGAGAGGGGTTTGACGGGATTACTCTTGTGTGATCTTTTATCTTCTCTTCCACTTTCTCCTCTGTCTGATCTCCCTCCACTCGCTTCTTTTAATGGTAACGAGATACTGTTTGTGATATCACTTCATGATTTGGAGACTTTGTTGCAGATACCAAGACTACTGGTGTTTGACGACTTCCGAGTATCTATCAGACTGGGTTCATTACAATTTGGTATCGGAGCATACTTCTTTCATCGCAATCTGTTGTCTGCTGTCAGGTGCTGACGTGGCACCCAGGTAAGTGGGAGGTGCCACATGTGCAAAACGAAACGCGTTTATTAACTCGCGCGGTAATACCGCAAGTCTAGACATTGTAGTATTGCACGTGCGCGCAGCTGTCCCTTGAAGATGATGACGTGGCTGCATTGAAGACTTAACGGCAAAGAGCTTCGTTGGCAACAGGCTGACGTGGCGTTGGTCAAGAAAACTGATGTGGCATGATATGTGGTTGGGCATGGTCTGATGTGCCACATACTCGTGACACTATTGCCTGCTCTTGCTGCATCTGACGTGGTATACCAGTGTTAAGTGTGTGGGCAGACCTGCACTGCTGACGTGGCATCCCTCCTTGCAGATTTTTTTGGTCCTTGACGCTGACGTGGCAGAACTGCTGTGTTGGCATACCAAGGGTGACACGTGGCATGCAAAGACTGTGCACTTGTTGTTGAAGGTTGCATTGCTGTTGCGGATGATATAAAAGAAGCTAACCATTGATTGTGTGGTTGTGTTGGCTTTCCTACTTACCTGAGGTTGTTCTGTGGTTGCTGTGTGTACTTACAAGTGTGTTGTTGTCTTGATCACACTGGCCGTGGCTGCGGTATTTGTACATTGTTGTAGGACGTCATCACATAGGAAACAAACAACAAAGTTAAAATAAAGAAATTGATTAAGGACTCATTTCTTTGATTGTTCTTGCTATTGAAGTTGTGTGTGCTGTGGAATTTATTTTTGTCTTTTGATCTTATTTATTGTGCGGCATCTACACGTTTGGAAAAATGAACTCTCTGTGGAAATGTCTGCATGCCTCTATCTTGACGCGGTTCATTCCTCTTCTGTTCTTCCCTATCCCTCTCTCATAGTCTATGCTAATGAAGAAGGGGGGGATCTCAAGACACAGGGTTAAATTGAAACAAGAAGACAAACTCTGATTGGGTTACTCCCTAGTTGCTTGGTGAGATACACGCTGCCGGTCCAGACGGTGAACGGCACGTTCACGGACAGCTCAATCTGCTTGATGCAGAAAAAGAGTTGCAGGGCGCTGAAATTGCCATTGAGATGATGGAAACCGGCAAAAGAGTGGAGGAGCTCATTAAGAAAGTTCGAATGACCCTTGACCGGTATGTCGCCGAGGGATTTGACAAACTGGAACAAGAAAGGAAGAAGAGAATAGAAGAGGAGAAAGAAAAGAAAGTAGGGACACAACTGTCTGTGGAAGTCATGGAGGAGAATGTCAGACAACTAGGAAATACCTTTAGGGAAGAAAGAAGAAAGATTGAAGAGTTCGGGAGAAGGAAAGAATAACAAGAACAGCAAGAGAAAATGCTGGAAGAAATGAGAGAACGATTTCACTTTGAGGAAGTCGAAACTGATTTTTCGTCTGTATTGCAATCCATCATGGCTTACCTTGTTCATCTGGAGAGGAAGATAGACGCTAACACCGTCTGTATTGCAATCCATTCGTGGACAGCTCGCGGCAGAATCGAAGTTTGGTAAGTATCTCGCTCTCCAGAGAGTGCAGCTGACCGCTCAGGTAAAGGGGTCGTACGCTTCGGTAGTGAAATCGGGACCGGTTGGTGTGTATGGAAAGCGGGTCCTCTGGCGGCAAAAGTGCCAGGACCATATGCTTGTTGTATTCGATGATGATGCCGTAGAGAAGTTACCCCTCGACGAGTATGGGGGAGGAGGAGGTAATGGTGACAATGAATCTTTCAAGGGTGATGTCACTGCCGTAATGGCCAACAAGGGAGGTCAAAGTCAATGGAAGAAGAAGAGGAGGCCACGCTCGATTCCCGAGCATCCCGGCATTGCATTCGGGAAGCCTTGGGGAAAAATGGGGATGACTTGTGAGGAATGGCAGTCCAAAATGGACAACCGTCAATGCCTCAAGTGTGGCATCGTGGGGCATGTGATAGCCTAGTGCCCGCTCATCCGTAACCTAAAAGCGAGCAGCCAGTTGGAGTAGCATCTGCTCCTACTGAGTCAAAGGGTTTAGACCAAGATAAAGGTAAGGCGCCAACAAACCCTTCTAACCCCTTGACTCTTCAGGCAGAGGATGACTCTTCATCCGTTCAGCGTCCAGACACCTTGGCACGGTGCTTTGTTCTGTCTCACTTGACGATTCCCTTGACGAGCTCGACAATGAACTCGTAGCACTTCGAAGTTTGTGGGCGAAGAAAGCTAAGTCTAAGGGTGAGTTGATGATCGTGGATATTGAGATTGCGCACACGCGAGTAGGTGCTCTGTTAGATCCGGGATCGACGCGGTCTTATATCTCAGAGAAGGCAATTCGCAAATTGCATCTGGGAATGAAGGTAAAAGACTTACCTCGACCTATCACGTCTATG